TCCGCTGCTGCGCTTCGCATCGGTGAGTACCAATTAATTATCTTTTAGTTCAATATGAAATTACGCGGATCTGTGAAAATATATCATATGTCCCTATAAATGAAAGAATATTCCCCCGTAATATATGAAAATTCAAGTTAAAAACTGAAAGTATATCAGATAAATAAAAAAACCAAGTAATGTGACATCCAGTAATTATTTCATCACATAATATTGCCGATAGTTGTACAATAATTGTACAATGGGTTAATAACGCAATTTTGATGTTCGGTTATTATTTAATCTATGCAGATATATAAAAGAGCAAACATGATCTTGATTTATTGTATAGCAAATTTTAAAGCAAATTTGTTTTATTTCGAATTCAAATATTTCCATCTAAAATCTTAATAAATATATATATATGTAAAATAGGTTTAATATTATATATAACATACGAAATTCATATATTATTTCCAAAATTTTCAACAATTTCGACGGAAAAAAAAGAGAAAAGGGAGACAAAAGAAAAGATTCAAAGGTAAAAAAGAATTAGCTTGCGAATATAAACATACGTGACAAACAGGTTTATTTCCTTCGTTTGTTGGTCACCGAATTTACCGCGAAATCGATTCGGAGAAGTGTGACATCTCGCGTGATACATCTCAAAAGACAGATGTCGAGCGAAACGCGTGATATTTTTATCCGTAATTCCAGTTTTGCTCGCGCAAGTATTTTCTCGCTCGTAGCAGAAGTTCGCGAGACTTGTCGATTATCTCGTCACACTCGGGGAGATCGTAAAAATAATTAATAGCCGACGTTGCAACAACTGATAATCACTTTGCCTAATAGCAATCTGTTATTCATGCGAACGACAGGTTTCGTCGGCAAACGAGCCTGCGGGAAGGAACGATTCATTATTCATTGAGTTGTGCACAAAACTCGTACGTTCGATTGATAGTCAAATTGAAAGTTGAAAATTTATTTGCTCGAGAATTAGCGTTTCTCTCAGATGGACGTGTTGCAGAAATATATTTCCACCTACACAAATGAACATTTGATTTTTTAATGAACGTGAAACGAAGCATTTTTTAAATCTAATAACAAACGTTCGATTCACGATAAAAAATACATGAAGCAGGTTTTATTTTAGATTAGCAAGCTTCGTTAAAATGCTGATAAAACACGGCGCAGCACATTTCTATTTCTGGTGAATCCGCAACGTGATTAAGTTAGCGGTAATCCGCAACTATCCGGTTAGATATTATTCTTTAATCTAATTTATGCTTTTATATAATTAAAGTATGTCGACTTTTACGAGTAGTACTTTAGTAGTTTTTAAATTGTTTCTATTACATGTTTGCCTAGCTGATATTAAATAATTAATTAAGCCATTAGAATTCCTCTCTCCTTATCGGTTCTGATTCTGGATTCAATATTTTTCGCAGTTTTTATTTATTACTTATTTTTATTTAATGTTATGGTACGTTTTACACTACATAGTGCACCTTATAAATACGAATCAATGTCTTTAAAGTCTCTGCGAGAAGGCATTTTATCCTCAAACGATACTGCATGTTTCATGAATTATTAATGATCGCCGATGATAGGTCATGTATCCTAATTTTTGTACGTTGATGCGTACGGGCGAAGTTTCGAGCATCGAAAAAAATCGCACCTCATTCTCCACGACGTTGTATTTGTCATGCATATTAATGACGGCTGATGGACAAGCGGCGACTGAATCGCCCAACAATCTAATTTTCGCGCGTTAAGGCGAGAGAAATTTGTAGCGTTCGCTTAAATCGTTCCTCATACAGTTTATAAATGGGTTTATAATGTCCGTCAATAAATTATTTAACGAATTTATCGGTATTATTATCCTTCAACAAAAACACGAAAAAATTTAATTATGCAATTATTTAATATCACACTGAAAAGTTTGTGGTTGAAAATGAACGAACCGGAAGGTTCTGATTAATTAAAATTTTGGTAATTCCCTCAACTGGAATTATAATAGATTCGACCAGAAAATTCGGATTTGTCCAATTTCAACTAGAATTGCAATTAATATAACCAGACTTTTCCCAGTGATTTCATCAAGTGAAATATAAAGACATAATAAATTCTTGTCATTTTAAAATTTGGAACGGAAATAATTAACAAAAAATGAATTTGAAATGTGAATATTTAATATTGATTTCAAAATTATTCAATATTATATGTCTTATAAGGCAGCTACGTGCTAAAGGGTTAAAGACACCGCGATTGAATAAGTGCGTCTAATTCCTCGAAACGTTTTTGTAAACCAACGTATAATTCTGTTCTATTACGACCGCGAGGGCAATTGACACCTATCGCGATTGAAAAGGGATGCAGCTTCGCGGAGCCGGTCATCTCGTCGCGGTCGAGCGAGAATGGCGCAAGGTCTCTCTGTACAGGGGTTCAGAGATTCCTGAAAATTATTAACGACACCGCGCGGAATTACGGCAGGCGTGTCATTCCTTGGACGGAGCAGTGGTTCTCATTGCGTGCGCATCATCGCGAATAATTCCTGGCCGTCAGTAAATCGGCGATTTGTGGTGGACGGTGACGGATTTGCAAGTATAATGAAAAGTGCTGGGTTAACGTTAAAGGCATTGTACTCTCGCGGTGCGGGGGAAATCACAAGAAGATCGCATAGGGGCGCGCGAGTATGCGTGCCCGGAGCTAGCAAGGGATGGAGAATCAAAGGACGAAGCGAGAGAAAAATACGCGTGGGCTTAAGGCGGTAGGGGGGAGGAAAGAAAAAAGAGTAAGTAAGTACCGAGAATAAATTAAACTAATTGAGCAAATTAGCCAGCTGTTCACGCAACGATGGCATAGAGACACGCTCTCCTCGGTAAGAAGTCATCGTCGTCACGCAGAAAACGTGTATCCCTTTTGAATAAACATGTAATATCATGCAAGTTATATCTACGAAAAATAGAAAAATTGAATGCATAAATCAAATTTGATATTATCACTAATGAATGTCTAGCATGATATCGAAATTGTAGATTACTTGATAGATTTAAACATTTTATGTTAAATTAATTTGTTAAATACATTTTATTGAATACTACACGGACAGAGAAAAATTTCTGGTTGAAAAAGAATGAACCAGAAAATTCTGATTGTATCAATTAGAATTTTGATTATTTCAACTAGAATTATAATAGATTCAACCAGAAAATTCTGATTTGTCAATCTTCAACTAGAATTCCAATTGACGCAGTCAGACTTTTTATCTAATGTTGATTTCCGGATGATATTTCTTCGAAGATTGTGAAATGAGCTCTGCGTATTGTATGCAATTTATAGTATTTCAAATAGTAACGTATAATATATTTCAATCTGACTAACAAGCTATTATTATATGATCAATTTATTAAGGAAGAGTTGTGAAATTCACATTAATTTTCTAATTATTTTGAAAGATTACATCATAAACTCGTATAAAATATTATAATATAAATTTATTTATATACATTGATCGCGATCCTGTGTGATGTTTATTGCAATGTTTTATCTTTTTATGCAGCTTTCGAGTTTTCATATGACAATAATTATACGATGCAAAAAAAAATAAAATTAAAATTAAAATGTCTTGTAGGACGAAGCATTAATCAGATGTAATAAAAATGGATAAGAAGTGATCAATAATTTGATGTTAAGTATTTAAATATTCAAATGTATTCGGATCGCATGATTACCGTTCAAACGTAAAAGAACATTAAAGTTTAATAGCGGATGATATCCGCGTTTCTAGCGTTGATTAATTGCGAATGTCTTTAATAATCAATTTACAATATTATTTGAATACAATAATGTCAAGTATCAAGAAGATAATTTCTTGTATTCGGTATGAAGTATACACTACTGATAGATACTTATCGTAATTCATTTCATGCAATAACATTGATGCTGATGAGTTCTCTTTTTTCTAAATTGAATAATTAATGAATAATTATGCTAATTATAGATACTTTATATTTACTGACGTCAATGTTTAAAATTAGATTATTGATACAAGGCATAATAACATCAAATTATCTTTTTTGCTATAAATATAGTTATCTATATATACATATGACATGATGTTTTCCGTGACGTAAATGTTTTATAAATATTCCAATGGGCAATTAAATTCAAGATCAGAAATCTTTCACAGTAACAATGAACAGTAATCGTTTAAATGTACCAATAGACAATCGCATGTCCAATAATTTTTTAGTAATAACGGGCATTTTGAAAAGGGTTGAGCAAATAATTAAAGACTCGTGATCAGTGACTTGTATATGTTGCTCGAAGGATATCGCATTTCGCCATACGGGTAGGCAAATTACAGGTGGGGATACGTGACCGTGTGGAGAACTTAAATAATTCTTAAGTAATTCTTCGCGCGCGCTCGCGGGCTTCAAAATTATTATCCAAACGAAATGTCAGAGGATACGGGATAATTGTTGTTGCGTAAGAGACGTGCGATATTTTCACATTCGCGCCAAAGAAGACGCCTAACCACATTATTACCGCCAATTATTGCCTCATTTTTCCAAACAGACAAACTTTGACGCGCACAGCTGCTTATTATTCAAATGATTTCGAAGTTATGCCATAATATGTCAATATATATATAATTAGAGATAACTAATCAATTTTAATTTGACACGCTATTATTTTCATTTAAATAGCATCAGGCATTTATTTATCCGTTCATTTAAATGTACGATTTAATAGATCTTACCATTTTTTAAATTTGAATAAACTTATAATTCGCTTTTATTTTTAATTACCTTTTTTAATTATTCCTAAGACTGTATGAAATAGATTCTTACGTCATGCATTTTAAAGAGTGTCTCACTTTTATATTTTACATATATTGAAAGATAAATTTTACTACGCGCATTTAATAACTGTATCAGAAATGAATCTATAATTTATCTATGCCACCTTATTTAATATTCGTTTTACGCAAAACAACGTTAAGAGATTCCACTGACCTGTATCCGTGCCTCCGTCAGGCCGATCTTCATGGCGAGCTCCTCCCTAAAAACAAAAAGGAAGGTAATCATTAACACAAGAAAAAGGAACCAAGGCCGCACGTAGCCGCGGGCCTATTTGCGCGTGCGAGTTATCCGATTCTGTTATTGCGATAAACTCGAGTTAACGGAGTGTGAGCTTCGTCAGTTCAGAAATTATTATCCAACGAGTCCCGAACAATACTAAGCGGTAATAAAATTATAATATTTGCCAATTTTAATGATTTTCTGAATATGATATATACGTACACGATATACGTACATAATATGATATATACGTATGCATTATCTCTTTAATAATTATAATATAACAATTATTAATTATTTTATTGAAGAATCATCGCAATCTTTCATCATAATCGATGGATGTAACAACTCGACTTAAACTTATTCACGTTCAATCTTAAAAAAGTTCTTATTATGTTATTTATTATTGTATTAGATGGACATCGTTAATTTTCTTGGAGATAATAACTTTGCATAAAATTATCTTTAATTGTATAATTGTTTTATTGTCGTTATTATTTCTAAATAATAGTCTAGTTACTTTGTACTGAATTATTATTGCGTATACGCTCTCAAGAAGTTAAACTTCACAATATTTTAATGAATGACACATCCTTTTGTTACTCTTTTTTTCTTATCTTACGTAATCAAATGCATATCTAAACGTTTGGGCAGTTAACGAAGTAAATACATATAATTACAACTATAATTATTATCTCCCTTGAGTACGCGATTTATTACTTAGGAACGTAATTCAACAAAAAAATCATTTAGTTGTTTTTTAATAGTGTTGAGGAATAGCGGTTACACACACAATATGACCTCGTATCATATCCGTGAGAAAATCGCAGAAACCGTTGTACGAAATAGCCAGTCTGTCCCGTAAAAACACGCGTTCATTATCTTAATTAGTTTTGCATCCGAAGCAGATTAGCCGACATAACGATGCACGATGGGGATTAATTGCATTATGTATCTCGCGGCATTATGTGTGATTTTCCGTTCGATTGCTACTTGCACGAGCCGTTGTGACGAGAGCTATTAATATCTATTACGAGACGATCAGAATCCGTGGCGACCGCGTCGTGTTGGCTCCGGTAAGCAGATAGAATCTCATTTTATATAGGTGACTGCGCTCCCCAACGGCGTATTACGAATACGATTATCCGTAACTAATTGACCGGTCCAACGCAGCGGTAATGACGAATAATTATTAGCTCGTGATATTTTACATAACGTCGATCATGTCATACGCTGTACCAGTCGTTTCCTTTCCGCTCGATTGAATTTCGCATCCTTCGCTCGCGGGCGCATATAACACGAATAGTCTGCGTCTCACGTAGGTATAATACATGACACTTTTTTTGCAAGCGCATACGGCGCTTGCTTCGCATAAAATTGTCTCCCCTTGCCCTGTTGTCTAGAAATCCGAACCGCACAGATGCCGGAGGCTACTGATTAAGAGAGAAACACACAGAAAAATATTATTCTATTGTTGAGAACAGTAAATTACTCAAAATACTTTCTTTTAATTAGAATGGTTATTTTTACCAAAGGATGTTTTCTTAATAACGTTAAAATATTACTCATTACAAATTTTAGAAAAACTCATTATTATGTTCTCAAAACAAGAGTTTATTTTCTTTTGAAAATGATTATAAAAATTGTTTGTGAAGAAGCGACTTTATATAACAAGCAAATCGAATTTATTTTAATTTAATAATAATGATCTTGAGTGTGTGAAGTATTAAACTCACTAGAACTCAGAATATATCTTGAATAAAGATGTTTGTGATGAACTTATGATAGATTTGCGGATATAAGGTAAATGTCTAGTTAGTGAACATGACTCAATTTGTTGGATAAAGTGGTACAAAATTTTAAATATTAACCTTTTAATAATATGTACTACTCTAGATAAATTGATTGTTTATAAAAATTTAATAACGAATTTAGTTAGAATTGTACATATCATTAAAAATTCAATATGAAATGTTTTATCACTTAATCTAACAATTGGTTCATTCATGTCCACTAACTGGTACATTTATCTTATGAACTTTTGAAATACTTGAGTACAAGTATTTCGAAGTTATTATTTGCATACAGTAAGTATTTTTCTGTGTTTAGAAAATATTATTTATGGATGCTACAACCTATAATCTAAAATCATGATAATATATCTACTTGTCACGAGTACATAGTTATACGTTAGGAATTACGAAGCGTTACGCTGTACGTGAGTATGTACTAAAATGACGAAGATTCTGTTTTTGCTCAAAATAATGCGTATGTCACAAATGTACCCCATAATTATAATACATTCGTTAAGAGTGTAGATTAGATTGTAAGAAAAATAGTACAACTACGTTCAAGGAAACAGAGGAAATTAATAGTCATCGACTTTGATAATTAAATTCCTTTTGGTTGATTTATGTTGGTTAGGCGATTGCTCTCGCAGGATGTTTCCAGTAAAGATAATAACCCATATAAATCGCCGCTTGCATGATTTCACCGGAAATTATGCGAACGCATTCTCAATTTTTTTTCAACTGAGAACGAGGCAACCTGAAGGCGCGAAGGAATCATTACGAGGCAGGCGTGAATCATGACGGGTGTCGATAATTCATCCCGCACGTTGAGAATTCATTCATTCCGGAAATATTAGCGATTTTCGCCGTTGTTGCGTTAAAGGAACCGAATGGCGGCGATCGTGCAATCGAGTATATCCGGCGGCGGGTAGAAAAAGAAAGAAAAGAGGGAAAGAATGAATCGGTCAGTGAGACATCCCGCCGGGCGTCTCTCATCTTGCAGGCAAATTGCCCAGATGTTCCACGAAATCGCGAGGAAATCTCGGTGATTATGCCGCGCACAGAAGCTCTTGCGTCCGATCGTCTTGGATCTCGTGTTTAGGTGCATTTCAACCTTCAGACGGTAGCTTCCGAAATTACAGGGATTTCAGGATGAGTTCGAAGATTGTGGCCATGGTCCACGGATTCGTCTGATTCACGTCGCGTCAATTTTATCATCGTTCGCTCGGATGCTCGTCCAATCTGATCGTTGCATCCGAGCTGAAATCCTTCCGTTCTTCCGATTGAACGAGAATTAACATCTTTTCGCAATCTAAATCTCGTTTTTAATTTTATATTAATATTTTTACCTTAAAAACTGTCATTTTATAATTATTAAAACCACAAGAAAATATTTATATCTAATAATTAGTAATATATATCGTGGACTTTACTTTTGTTGTATTCAAATTGAGTTTAATTGTACCGTTGTTAAATCGCAAATTTCAATAAGACGTTTTGTGATAATAAAGATATAGGTATATCTAACAATAAAAATATACAGTCTAATATCTAAAAAGTTTTAGAAAATTAAATCATTGGTGTCAAGCACGAGTTTCATTGGACACTGTTAGATATTAAAGGAATAATAGTAATTCATCTCTTGAGTTAAATAATAGTTTGTTATTTTTAGCTTCTATGTGCGTCAAAATGTAAATCAGTTTATTTCTGTGGTTATAGTTTTAAGGTAAACAACATTCATATTAACATATATAAATGTACTTACATTATAGAATAATAAATAATAAACTAAATTTGAGTCAAGTTTAATACATTTTCTTAAGACAAATTATTTAACTTCATTATGTTAGTAAAATTAACGACATATTTGGTCTGTTCTTTTTAGCTGAATTTTTGCACGGTTCATCTTTCTTACTTTTCTTTCCACGCAGGAGAAAAAAAGAGGAAAGATAAATCGTGCACAAGAAATTCAACTAAAAAGAACAGGCCTATTGAGTAAGAGGTCTAGGAACAGTGATGACTATAGAAATAATTAGAAATAATTCAAAAATTGGATATAGTTTAATTCGCCAAATTGAGTTTATCAAAAGTTTATTCGATGAAGGTAATCATTACCAAAATAATGGAACGACGTTTATCCATTGATTAATCATCCAAAACGATCCTCATCGTATATATCGCGTATCGACCGGTAATTGCAAAGCGTATTCACGTCGTCAAATCATTTTTGATGGCCCGCGTACCGACTTGTGGAGGAAACGTAACTAGAAGACGCGAGTTCGTATACTGCTGCAGTACTCTCTGATTACCCGTTGTCGTGCGCTAATGACTACTCTGGTGAACATAGTTGCAGACGGTAATTCGTACCTGCTACCAGGCGGCTCGGCTTCGTTTTCAATGAAACGCCGAGTATGAAAGCGCGCACCTATCAGCTGCTTCTCACGAAAAACAGGCTTACGCCGTGAACGATAAAATTACGTGTAGTACGTGATTTCTCTCTCTTTCTCTCTCTCCCCCCCCCTCTCTGCCCGTTACATCTGATTGTTTGTATGACTCACAAATACGAATAAATCAAGACCAGCATATATTCTACTAGTCAAACTAGATACTTGATGATGACAGAAACTTCCTCTATGGCTATTTTAAGTGACATAAAATTTTACTTTTTCTAGTGAAATAGGAAATATAGAATCATAAAAAATACTACAATAGAACAATTGGAGATTTTATATTAGACGCTTTCATAACTTCTATTGTGCCTTCGAGGATGAGGAAAGTGGTTTATATCGTTGTTCCGCCTAACGATTCAAATGTTTTATCTGTCTCGTAATCTTTGCGTCACTTCTGGCCACTCGAGCACGATATAATCTTTATAGATATGTGCATTACACGCACGGGTGCGCGAGCGCGGACAAAACGCACACCGTCGAAGAGGCGGACGAGGCTCAGGCACCTTGGGGCCTGCGAGTAATAATAATTTAGCCTTTCCCTTTTTCTCTCTCTCTCTCTCTTTCTCGAGGCGCGCTCGCCAACGTCCTTCTGGATTTAATAAGATCACGAAATTTCGCGGTTAGACGGGCGTCCCTAATTACACCCGCCGTTCACCGAGACTCTCAGTTACCCTCGATTCGCGTATCATTATTATTACGTGTCCCTCTCCTAACTCCCTCGTCCACGGTGTGTCCTTGCC